TGACAATAAAGCTTTTTATTGTTTCAAAATTAGAGTCGTGTATTATTTTTCATTATAAATAATTGTCAAACAAAATAATTGAATCAGCCGCAACTTTATTTTTATTTGAAACTGCTCAATTTGATTATTAGAAAAAATATTTTCAAAAGAAATAAACAAATAATTTTTTTAAATATTTTTATCCTCAAAACAACCGTAATTTGCTTTGTTAAATAAAACCTGCTAATCAAAACATATGTATTAGACTATAAGCCGATTATATAGAAGAAAAAGTTTCTGATATTTTTCAAATACAAAAGTATATTTAAAAAAAATAGCTCGTAACTTTTTTTATCATTAAATCAGTTGTAACTTTTTTATTATAAAAAGATGTCAAACAAAATAATTGTATTAGGCGAATATCTGGTTTTAAATTTGGAGAATATAATTGTCCAATGTTTAATTGAATTAGCAGTCGTGACGTACATTTATATTCAAATTTAAAAATAGCTTTTTGTAACCAATAACCAACTTTAATTGATGCAATCCGTCCATTATCAGCTTTTGATATGCACATCGTGTCAAACCATCAGAAATATTCAATAGACTAAATTTAAATAACAGCCGAACTTTTTTGAAAATAAAAAGTAACAAACTCCTCATTTTAAGGACAACATTTTAAAAAAAAAATATTGAAAAGATACTATAAATGACATGTAATTAATGTTGACCAGTTTTGACCAAGGATTGACTTACTATTCTTGATCAATAGTCATTCTTTTTATATATATATATAGACTAGTACAACACTCGTGTATTACACGGGTGCTTGTTAAAAAATTATTCTTAAATTTTAAAAATTAATGAGAAAACTATATTAGATTTAGTTTACTTTTTTTAAAAAAAAAAAAAAATATGTTACTATATGTTTTAGAATGATATGTGTTACTTATGACTTACATGTGTTATATTATATATATTTATTTTTGTAACTTATATTATGTAACTACTTGAAATATAAATATATTAGTTGATAAATAATTTTATTTTTCTAATTAATATTAAAAATAATTTTATTATTGTTATAACGATATATATAAATTATTTTTTTATACATACAATATGGATGTTAAATCGAAACTCATCAAAAGAAGATTAATTTGATATATTACATATGTAAAACTGACAAAAAATACAAAAGTTATTAACTTTTAAAAAATATATATACAATTCAATAGTTATAATAAATAATGATATTAAAAAACAATTAATACATGTAACATGACCATAAATAATTATTATTTTTAATTTGGAATTAAATTAAAATTTACTCAAGCCTAATAACGAAGCATGTAATTTTGCCACATATGATTTCGAAACACCAGAAGCAGCCACGTAGGCTCAACGCGTTCGGATTAATATATAGGGGAGAGGGATTGGAACTGAACTCCCTTTGACTACATTGATAGAAAATAAATAAATAAATAAATAAATAAAAATAGTACAATATTAATTGGGCTTGGAACCAAGTGAAAATTTCCATGAAATTAAGAAAAAACACAAACTTTGTTTGCTACAAAAGTTAGGACCATTTGTCTGCCACCACATAAACCCTACCAAAACAGACACATTTCCTCATCCTCCTCCCCTGATTAATCATAATCCATACTACATAAACTTAATTAAGCCCTTAATTAAACTAATTACTATTATAATTTTTACTCTCTAAATTAATTAGCAAAAAAAAAAAAAAAAATGTTTTAAGGAATAGAATGAACTAGAGGGATGTTCTTGTTGTGTATGGGGCGCCTCCTTTTAAGCCAATTATAATCCATAGTGTAATATTCTCCTTTTGATGTTGCTTCATAATTATGCACCACTTTTTCTTCATTTTCAGCTTCTAATTTGTTCTCTGCCATCAAATATGAATAAATATATAATATGGTGTCAAATAACATTAACAATTTGATAAATGAAGAGGTAATTAATAAGTACATTACTTCAATAATTTAAATTTTTAACTAATGTTATAGCAGGAATTGCCTATCACTAGTAATAATCCATAAATGGGAGGAGCCAAAATAAATAAATAGAAGTGATTTTAAGGGGGAGAGAGAGAGAGAGAGAGAGAGAGAGAGAGAGAGAGAGAGAGAGAGATTACATAAAGGTGTGTTTTTATATTATAGGGAGATGCTACGGTCCGTTACGGAACCATTCTGTCGGGTTTGTAACCGTTAGATCAACTATCCTCGACGGTTACATGATGATCCAACGGTTATAAACCCGACAGAATGGTTCTATAACGGGACCATAGTATTTTCTTATATTATAATATGATTATGTATGCTAAAACAAGACTAATAAAAAGATTTGCAGAAGCATGTGAATATGTGATCATATGAAAACAAAATGTGTGACAAGATCAAACCTTAAATTCATGTCATAGTTAGCCAAAGTAGAACAGCTTATGTTTCACAATAATGCTTCTACAAATGATTCATGCACAAGTTTACACAAATTTTGCATCTCAATATTCATTATTCTAAAGATAGAACTTAAAAAAAAAAAAAAAATGTTGTTGTTAGTTTGGCCAACCGTTAGACGAATCGATTTGTTACGTTTTTGAGAAGATATGTACCTGAAGAAGCTTCCATCAACTTCTTGCCCGGCACGATATTATCTTTGTCGTCGAAACTCTTCACAAGATAAACCAATAATCAGCATTCACCAATGAAAACCAAAATAAAAAATAAAAAATATATATATATAAAAAAATGTTGAAGACTATTATTAAATCAAATATAATAGTTAAACTTACTGTATCTTGTTGGACTTTAAGTTTCCTTGGCAGCAAAGTCTGAGTAGATTTTGCATTTTCAACTGCAGAATCACCTGAAGAATATATATATATATGCAATAAAAAGTGTCAGAATTAATTCATTATTCTACTCACATATGCATAGATTCAAATGCCAACCAAACAAACAAAATAAAAAAAAAAAT